TCCTTTTATTGGAGAATGGTACTAAAAGCAAGATCTGAGTGCTAGAGGACCTCATTGCCACTGGAGTGCCACTGTTTGTGGGTCCTCTGAGCAGACATAGTTAAGAAATAAGTGTATCTATACTAAGGCATTCACTCATATTTGTATTTACACTTGCATCTGTGAGATAGAGTCTGATTCTAAGCCAGCACCAAAAGATTCATTCTAGTCTTCCTCTTTGCTTGTTTGTAACATCTTTCTCCAACAGTATGAAATCTACAATTTATTTATTGATTTCTTTTTTTTTTAGGTACCAGGAATTGAACTCAGGACCTTGTACTTGCCAAGTAAGCATGGTGCCACTGAGCTTCATCCTCAGCCCCTATTTATTGCCTTCTTTCACCCTTGTTTGTGTGTAATACAGTCTTTAAGAATTGCTGACCCTTAATCCTAGGAGACACATGCTTATCTTTTAGGCTACAGTATTTATGTACATATCTTTTTGTCTTTATCTTAGAGTATCCAATGAAAACACTATTTTCTCTAGTTTCATAGATGAGCCACTCTTTCTCCACTCCTTCAGTGTGACTCTAGTATACTTTGTAGTTTAGTTAGTCTTCTTGTCACAGTTTCATTTCCATCCTGGGGCCCTCCAACATTCATTGATTTTTTTTTTAACACAATGAAATTCAGCATCTGTGATATATTGTCCTATGGTTTTGACAAACACATGACGTCATTGTCCACTACTCCAGTAGCATAGAGAACGGGTACAGTGACCTGAAATTTCTCCTATGTGTTCCTTTTGTTGCCAAATCCTTCACCGATCCCTGGAAACCACTGATCTATTTTCTATCCCCATAGTTTTGGATTTTCCAGAATGTTGTACAAATAGAATGATATGCGTCTTTGGGGTCTAGCTTCTTTCACTTAGCAAAGCTCATATGAATCATCCATATTGCTGTGAAAATGAAAACGTGTCCCTTTATTGCTGAGTAGGGGTATACTAGAGTTTGTTTTTATGTCCCCCTGCTGAAGGACATTTTGTTGCTTCAATTTTTAGTGATTTTTAATAAAGCTATTATAAACATTGGTAGCGACTTGTTTTTGCGTGATGGTAAGTCTTGATTCACTTGGATAAAGACTTTAGTGTATGACCATTACTTTGTATACTGGCTAAATTCAACTCTGGAGCAACTGCCCAGCTGCCTTCCAAAGTGCCTGTACCACCTCGCTCTCCCACCTGCAAGGAAATCCAGGGCTCCTCCAGCTCCACAGCTCCCCACTGTGCGATATCGCCTCCTCGATTTTAGCAGTTCTGACTGGTGTTGAAGCGACATCGAATTGTGGTTTTGATTTTCACTCCCTTAGTGAGAAATGATGTGAGCCCTATATGCATTGTGCATATCTCCATTAAGTGTCCATTCAGAGAGGTTTCCCATCTTTAATTGGGTTGCATACTGCTGAATTTGAGTCACATATACGGCTTTATAAGAATGCATTTATGAATATATAAGAAGAAATATATAAGTATATATTTATAAGGCCTTTGATCATACTTGTGACTTCTAAATATTTCTCCCAAACTGTGGTCACTTTTCATCTTAACAGTGTCTTCCAAACAGCAAATGATTTAATTTTGATCAAGTCCAATTAATCCTTTTTTTCATGGAGTGTGCTTTTTTTGGTATTGTATCTAAAAAGTCACTGCTAAACCCAAGATCCTGAGGATTCTTATGCTTACCTACAGAAGTTTTATAGTTTTAGTTTTCACATGTTGTTTTATATAAGCTACGGGTGCGTGTCCTGCATGTGCTTTGTTTTGCTTTTGTTGTCGTTTTGCACAGACAGTGCCATTGTTGCAGTGTGATTTGTTGAACACACTGTCATTTTCCCGTTCACTTGCCTTTATATCTTCCCCAAGATTCGGGTTCTCTGTTGCATTCTGCCCAGCCGTGTGTTTGCATTTCCACTGCGTCCCCTCCCCTCCATCACAACAGCTCTGCACTGTTTCAAAGTCAGGCACTGTGGGTCCTTCTGTTTGAGGATCATCCCTCTGATACTTACAAAGCAACTTTCTGGGATTTTGATTGGGGTTCCATTAATTTCAGAGGTGAAATCTTCAAATAATACTGAATCTTCAGCTCCACGAACATGATGTATGTCTTCTACTTATTTAGACTTTCTTTGATTTTTCGTCTGTTTTATATTTATCAGAGTACAGATCCTACACATATTTTATTAGATTAAAGTACTTCACCTTTCACATGCTCTTGTAAATTTCGAAGTTCGATTTTCATTTGCAGGTATATAAAATATAAATGCCTTTCCTCTGTATATTACCTCATACCTGTTAACTTGTGAAACAAGTGTTTTGAAGAAAATTATAATCTGACCTTTTTTCACTGATGAGCAAAATTTCTTCCTCAAAGCACTTAGAAAAAGATATTTGAAGAATAAACCTACACATTTTCTGCTATTATACACATTTCTCAGACCCACAGATAGCTCCTGACCTAAGAAAAGATGGTCTGCCACCTGAAATGAGAGAATTAGAGATTGAAATTGTTCTGAGGTAATGTGCTCCATCTCTCGGGTCCTCAGTCGTGAGCAGTTTGACAGCACAGGTGCTGGATGGGCAGTGGGCAAAGCCTGCGAGTCCACATGCAAGGCAGTGTGACGCCTTCTAGCAAAATTACCACAACGCTCTTTGTCCCAGCAATTTCATTTCAGTTCCAGAAATTTTTCCTACATATATTACTGCGAAAGTACAAATAATGTATGTACAAGATTTTTAAGTGTAACGTTTGCAACAGAAAATGAAATAAATTGAATATGCCATGTAATGTTATGTCTGCAAAACATACTATGTAGACTTAAAAGTAAATTTCAACAAAATTTCTATTAATGGCAGATGGGATTTGAGAAAGAGGATTATTAGTAAAGTGCAACCAACAATATTCTACTTAGACCAATATATCTCAGTTAGAATTAATTTCAAATGTGTCATTAAATCCAAGAATGCAAATATATGAACCTGAAAATCACGTTCACAAAGTCTTATACCAAAGTTTCCAAAAAAAAAGTATGCTGACTCCTTAAAAATAATCAAATTTAAAACAATTTAATAGTAGCAGAGAAATTTTGTGCTCTTAATAAAATTTTAAATGTTAATTTCACTTCTATGTCCTCCCTTTTCAAATTTTGGCTTCGTGTATGTTTACAATTTGTGTAGAATATTAGTAGAGAAGTATAAGTCTGTGATTTGTAATTTAACATGCACCTATTGGAGGTTCACGCTCCTCCTTGAAGTGGGGGACCTGCTGCTCTAGAGAAGAGCCCTGGGCGAGGCTCCCCGGAAGCCTCCTACAGGGGGCAGCACAGTGGGGATTCCTGTGGATATCACCTGCCTCACGAGTGGTGGAATTAGAATGTCATGAGTTCAGGATGATATGGCTTTTATGTGCTAAGATGTGGAATTCTAGAACTTCTAGGCAGCTGGACATAAAGGAGCCAGGAATTCTGCCTTTTCTGAGCTCTAAAGAAAGGGCTTTAAGCTAGGGAAGGTCACAGCTGCTCTGTAGGGAGCACTAGAGTACTGGCTCCCAGGGTGAGCTGTTGATCAGTCACTGCCTGAGTAGAGCGGGTTTAACCCAAAGAATCACCTGAGAAACCAGGGGCAGACAATGGGAACCCACTTTTTCAGTAAGACCAAAACCACTCTGCTGAAGCTACACATTCCAAAGAATAAGCGATGACGCCCTGGTTTGAAGGGTACCGAGCATGACGCTTGGGTCTATGTCGGTGTGGCTTCCATTCTCAATGTTGGAAATCAATAATATTCCAAGGTAGACGATGGAAATGAATTCAGTTGTAAGCTCTGCATCTTAGGGCTTGTTTATGTGCTCCTCAGTGCCTAGCACGATGCCATAGACCAGAGACCAGCTCACTTTTTCTCTAGAGTCAGAAAGTAAGTATTCTAGGCTTTGGGGTCTACACTGGCTGATAAACTACTGCTCATCTCTCTGCCTGCACATGGAAGCAGCCCTGGGCAGCGTATTATTACCACGCGGGCGAGGCATCTTTCCAAGACAACTTAGAAAAGCAGGCCTACTGTGCAGACACTTGCTAGGCACAAGTATGCTGTGACTTCACACATTAGGGACTTTGACACCCCCACCAGGATTCTCTGCTTTGACCTCGCTTGAGTACTCATTCCTGTGTGTAGCCCAGCCCCTCAGTTGGGGAATCTAGTGCCAGTGAGAGAGATTAATAACTTGCGAAGTCTCTAGGCAGGGACAGGAAATGCTCCCAGAAGAAAATCTGCATAAATATTGAGTTCATGATCCTTTGGAGTCATCAGAACCTTCAGTTTGCCTTCTCTCCGGCAGGGCTGTGATATTTGGGGAGACCTGTTTTGTCACCTCGAGGGGAAGAGCTTGCTGCAAACAGCAACTGGCAAGGCATGGAGCTCTTGCTCCGACTGTGCTTTGAGGGTGGCCTCTGAACCAGTCCCTCTGTCCTCACCCAGCTCTGCTCATCCTGTGAGCCAGCGCCATCACCCCTTGCTCTCCAGCCTGATGGGAGACTGGTAGGGGCCCCACTGTGGCAGTAGTGGGGAATCCAGAAAAACAATGCATCCACACACAGTACAAGACAGAGATGTATTTCTGAAGCAACGCTCCCACATTTGCAAAAGCATCGGGAAGGGGAATGGAAGAAAGAATAGGGCTCCCACTTTCTCCCTGAAGGGTGCCCCAGGCAGCAGATCTTGAAGTTGTTTACACAGGGCCCATCTACGCGATCTCTGACTGCCGCCGCGGGCGAGTTTCTACACATCGGGGCGATGCTTCGCTTATAGCTGGGGTTTTCTATCCATAAAGTGGCACTCGAGCAATGCACCCTGTGACTTCTACCCGGATTTCAATAAAGGAGGGCTCATTTCATTGCTTCCTGACCCTGGCTATAAAAGTAGCTGTGTGGGGAAGCTCTGGGAGCCTGCAAACCTTTTCTTCCTGTGCAGCACCTGGGGATGACTGGTGAGGCTGTGCCCAGCCCCGGCTGCTGGATTTTGAAGTTCCCTTGGGTGACAGATGTGATGGTGGGATGCATCAAGCCTACCTAACTGCTCTCCTGCTCTTTGACAGATTCGGCCTCTAAACAGCCTCGAGGATGAAGGCCAGCGGGGTCCTGGTCCTGATTGGCTGCCTGGCCACAGTCCCAGAGTCCCACATCTACATCCACTGTAAACTGGCAAAAATATTCTTGAGGGCTGGCCTGGATAATTATGAAGGCTTTGTCCTTGGCAACTGTGAGATTTCTTCCTCACTGTTCTCTCCTCAGCTCAGCCTCCTCTGAGATGCTGTGGGCCCTACCTGCAGCTCTTCTAGCTTTTGTATGCTTGGGCCCCCTGAGGGCCGTGCCAGGGAGGCACATGTTCTCCTCAACTGCTGCTCTTGGCTCGGCTCCCTCCTCTTGGGGTCCCCATGTCCCCGTTCCTGCCGTCCCCTACTTCTGACACCAGCTAGCGAGGAGGAAAGCAATGCCACCCCACTGGCAGTGTGGAGCACAGACCCGAGTTCTAGTCCTAGAGAGGCTAGCCTGTGACTTGAGGTGCAGCGTCCCCCAAGTGTGGCATCCCCAGCCCTCATGTGTCCAAGGGTGCCATCTGCACTGCCCCACCCCAAGGTTTCCTGGCAGGAGGCATCTAGGTAACAGGAGAAGGGAATTTGGCCCTGTAACGGCGCAGACAGCGCCAGGCATTTCCCTCCTGACCTCAGCTTCCGTCGCCTGCCTACCTGCAGGGCTCTGCATGGCCTACTATGAGAGCCACTACAACACCATGGCCCAGATGACCCTGGACGAAGTGAGAGAGCGCCGACTATGGCATCTTCCAGATAAACAGTTTCACATGGTGCAGAGACCAGAAGTTCCAAGACAAGAACTGCTGCCATGTTGCCTGCTCAGGTGGGCTTTGATTCTCCAGAGGTAATCTCAGGGAAGAGGGAGAAGAGAATGCTGAACATCTGTTTCTGCTTCGACCAAAATTCAGAGTTCAGATGCACAAGCATGTCTGTCCTGGGGCCTGTGAATTATTCAGCCGTCCCCAAAGCGACGCGATCCTGTGTCCTAGTGCACAAAGGTGACTTAGTCCTTCCCGATGGCTGTTAGTAAGCCCGCCATGAAAACCGTGCAGTGGACAAATGGGCTTTCTGCCCTGTCCTGTGGCGGGATATTGGGGTTTTCATTAAGAAGGAGGAAGCTCTTTGCCAGCGGCTTTACATAAACAATTCATTCCAAGGATACTGTTTGTGGTTCCCTGCACACACACTACATTTTTAACAGTAGAAATTAGATGAGAATTCACTTCCAACCCCTCTACTTCAGTCACAAGAGTCCAGCACTGAGAACAGTGAACTACACCAGGCACAGGTTCGGCTTCACAAAGCTTCTACTATGCAATGACAGAGAATTTGTGCTGTGTGAACGACTATCCCCTGCGTGGATTGGCTGTCGTGGGCTCCAGAGGAGGGGATATGATTAAGAAAATCATGGAAAACGCTGTCGATGCAACAATACTTGACCTGGGGCTTGGAATAAAGATGAGGCGTGGGTGTCAGAGACAGGGAAGTGGTGCTAGCAACGGGACAGAGGAGCGAAGAGCAGCACACAGGAAGGTGTGGGGCACAGATGGGGACAGCGACATCCTTCCTAGAAGGAATGAAGGGGATTTAGCTCAGTGGTTTCGCCACCTACTGCGCAAGCGCAAGGACCCGATTTCCATCCCCAGTACCGAAAAATAAAAAATAAAAAATAAAAAAAATAAAAGGAATGAAGGGGAAGTGGAAGAGGACTCCCAGGGTGGGGGTGGAGAGGCCCAGTGCTACCCAGTGGTACAGGGCAGCGAAAGCCAGGCTGAGGAGCTCAACTGTCTCACCTAAAGCAGGCAGCAGTGGAGGTCCGTCAGTTAACCGCTGCTTCAGAAAGTGACCTGCAGGCAGCGTGTGGAGCAGGAGGAACATGAGACCATTTCAGGGCTCAACACGTGCTGAGCTAAGAGACACGAAGACCTCAGCTGGGTCGTAAGAGGGGCAGGAGAAAGGGGACAGCTGTAAGGGCCGCCACCAGGCAGGATGCAGCCAGAGGCGACTGTTAAATATGGTGATTAGATGGTGCATCTCCGTGCATGGCGGGCTGAAGAACACCAACCCAGTGTCGCCGAACCAACCCTGAGGCCTCATGTCACTAAAGGGTCTTTGCAGATCTGACCAGAGGTGCCGAGGGAGAGCAGGGGGATTTTCCTGGGCAATGCAAGTGGACCAGACTAATCACATGCGTCGCGTCATCACAGCCCTGCTGTGGTCAGAGAGACCCAATGACAGAAGAAGGACAGACACCAAACGTCAGGGCCAATCAACTCCACTTCCATGATGAGCCAAGGAGTGTGGCCAGCCTGTAGAAGCTGGGGATGGGGAACCAGGGTCTCAGTCCCGCAGCCACAAGGAACTGATTCCCAAAGCCTGACTAGGCCAGGAAATGGATTGTCCCCTGAAGCCCTTGGAAAGCAAAGCAGGCTTCCGACACCTTGGTGTTGGCCCCATGAATCCGCATCCCCTCCCAACCCCTAAAACCACGAGAGAATTCTGTGCTGTCTGTGCCCCATGTTTGTGGAGTTTGTTCACGAATACAGCTTTCCTCTGCCTCTACCCACCCTGCAGCAGGGCCTGGCGCAGGTTCCTTGTGAAGCACGGAGAGGTTTCTGTGGTCCGTGATTACAGAGCTTCACCTCCGAGCTCAGGCGGCCCCACTGGTGTGGCTTCCAGGGAGCGCGTCACACACGGCAGGACTGGTGTGGCGTCCTGAACCTAGCAGCAGAGAGGGCCCCACAGTCCCTTTCAAGGGACCCCCCAAAGACCCAAGGAACTCAGAGAAGGTCACAGCTTTAGGGGTCTACAGCATTCCAGCAGCCCTAGTGTTAGAAGCAAGTCCGATTCAGCAGCAGTCAGACTACGGGGTTTCCCTTCCCACCACCGGCCGCCCCAGCTCGGGCAGAAGAGGGCGTGATTCTCCTCCAGACAGCGCAGTGTGAGATCTCTCAGCGGGGAGAGCTCCAGGGAGACCGAGATGAGGCCCCAGAGCCCGGCTACCTCCTCGGACCCAGACCCTAGGTTGAAGCAGCCGGGCTGTCCTGCCAGGGGGGTTTCTCCTCGGGAACTGGGCCGGATGAGAAGGAAGAGCGACTGAAGGCTCCGAGTGTGACTCCAGTAAACAAGACGGGTCCGACTTCTGCACAGGAGAACAGTTGAAAACCCTCACCTCTGCACAGAGCGTCCCGGGCTCTCTGGGCTCTGCCCCCGCACAGGTGGGCAGCCAAGGCTCACAGGGCATCGCCAGTGGGCAAGGAGGAGACTCGGACATCAGGTGAAAGTGTGAAAAGCAGCGCTGGCAGGGAAACGAGACTTTCAAATCCCCCAGAAAGACCATCGTGTGTGTGGCTAGATAAGAGAGAGGTATTGATAAAATAAGAATAAGATATATTTCTAAAAGAAGAAACAATAAAATAAAAAGTTCTCAAAGTTCTTAAAACCTATAGAAGAAACGGAAAATAGAGAAATAAGAATAAGAAAATGAGTGGAACTGAAATTTACAAGTTTCAACAAGAGGAAAGAGAAACAAGAGAATGAAATCTCCCAGAATTTTTTCCAGCACTTTGGGAGGCTGATGCAGGAGGATTTTAAGTTTGAGTCCCACCTGGACAACTTAGTGAGATCTTGTTGCAAAATAAAAACTTTGACCCTATCTTAATATTTAAAGTTAATTTCTTATAGCTAGCATATAGCTATGTGTGGCTTTTTATATCCATCCTGACAAAAACTGCTTTTTAATGAGATTAGGCTATAGGTCAGTAAGCTTTTCCCATATGGACAGATAGTAAATATTTTACATTTTGCAGCCCACAAATTTCTGTTGCAACCACTCTGGCATGTCGTGGGATGGAAGCAGCCACAGAAAATATGGAAATGAATGGGCCTGCCTGTTGTCTAGTAAGGCTTTATTGTAAAACATAGGCTCTGTGGGTCATGGTCTGCTGACCCTTCATTTAGACCCTTCATCTATGTTTAATGCGGTTAATTACTATGGTATGTCTAACTTTAAATTCAACCCTGCCATTTGTTTTCTAATTCTACCGTCTACTCCTGGTGCTGTCTTTCTCTGCCTTTTTAATTAGGTAATTATTTCTCAGTATTTTTCCATTTTCTCCACTGGCCTATTAACTACATGTCTGATTGGGAAGGGGGTACTGGGGATTGAACTCAGGACCTTGGGCTTGCAAGGCAGGCACGGTGCCATTGAGCTACATCCCTGGCCCTTGTCTGATTCACTTTTTATGCACTTCAGTGTTTACAATAGACATCATTACTTAACTGTGTCTACCTGCAATCAGTGTACTCCTTCACATGTCATATGTGAATTCTATCCCTGTGTATGTCAGCTCACCCACCCCATCCGGATGCCATGTTGCTGTTTTCTACAGCTTTTATATACCTTGAAATGCATTTTATTATTTTTACTTTAAACAATTATCAGATTGGGAAATTTTTAAAGTGAGGAAAATAGTTTCGTTATATTTATTTTCATCATATTCACAATCTGCAACATACTGCACTCCTTTGGTGACTCTTTTGGGTGGAAATTTAAAAGCTCTCATTTGCTTTCAGCCTAAAGAACTCCACTGCTTTTGTTTAAGTAGAGGTTTGCCATGAGCGTTCTCTCAGATTTTGTTGCCCTGAAAATGTCTCTATTTCGCTTTCATTTTTGAGAATATATAAATTCTGGGCCGATGAGGTTTGTTTTCTTATAACTATTGCCTTCTAGTTTGCCTCATTAATGATGAGAAGCCAGCAATTTCCTCATTTTTGTTTCCTATATGAATCATTTTTCCTCCAGCAGTATTGAAGATTATTTCTATACCACTGATTTTCAGCAATTTGAATAGGTGTGGAACTGGCGCTTGACTCCCTCAGCATTCACTCACACTTCAGACCCTTGAGCTTATCATCTTTTACTGAATGTGGGGGAATTTCTCCGTTAGGGTTCTGATGACACATACATTAAATTGTTGATGCTTTCCTATAGGACACTGAAGTGCTTCACCTTTTAGTCTCCTCTGCTATCTGTGTTTTATTTTCAATAATTTCCATTGCTACATCTTCAAGTTCTCTGATCTTTTTTCCAGAGTGCCTGCTCTGTTAACCCTATTGATGAGAAGTACATTTCAATTATCACTTTGCAATTCAGTGTTAGGTAATTTGTATATCATCTATCGCATGTTATTCAGGGTTGCTTTTAATGCGACTCATTTATTATTTCACAGTTCAGTACGGCTGAGGGCCCGGCATAGCTCTGCCAGGTGTCCGTACTCTTCTAAGTCCTTTCAGTCTGTCGTGTTACTCAGGTTTTCAAGTCCTTGATATAAACATTCATATTTACCAGCATATTTAACTGTCTTACTGCCAACTCAATCAACTGTATCTTTCCATTAACTAATTTTTCTTCTGATTGTGGAACATATTTCCAAGTGTCTTTTCACATGTAATAATAATTTATTACATTAATTTCACATATAATAATAATTCATTGGCTACTAGACATAGTGTATGTAGTATTGTTGAGTGCCTAGATTATGTTGTCTTTCTTCAAGGAATGTTGATTTTATTTTGGTGAGCAATTACGTTCCTTCCCATCAGCTTGGGCCTTTCAAGGGTTGCTCTTACACGTCACTGGAGAAGCTCTAGAGTGCTCTTTCTGGCCGGGCTACTTTGGTCCTACTACCAAAGCGCGACTCAGGGTCTCTTTTGCATATTCTAGGGCCTCTGGAAGGTCTCTTCCCTCTGGCTACTCAGAAGCCAAGAGTCTCCCAGCACTGTGAGCTATGTGGCTGTCCAGTCCCCGGCAGTGGTTGCTGC